AAAACTTTTTATAAACAATCACACCTCTGAAAATAACTGTTTAAAAGAAGGGTGAGTTTCCTCTGACACCCAAAGCAGCACGCAGATGCCATCACAATATGGTCTCCTTTTCCAGAGAGGAAACAAAAAGCTGCATTCATAGCCAAAAAAGTATATATTAAACATGCTTCCAGTTTCTTTCTTTCATTACTATGAAAATATCCTTATAAAATATTCTAGAGAGTAACTCTAAACAGGGACTTTAAAAGCAACATCTATTACAAAAGATAAAAGAAATGCAATTATATTTCCCTTCAATCATTCACTGAAGGCCTACTATTTACGAAGCACTGCAGCAAGGCTGCGTGGCGGGGGCAACGCGCACCTAGATGCCTGAATTCTAACAGCTAGAGACTGAGGGAGGGAGCACAGCTCCATCTCTCCAGGGGCACACTGAAAGCAGTGTTTGTCTCCTTAAGTCTACTCAAGTAAACCAAAAAAATATTCACCAAATTACTCTAGAACCTGAATGAAATTGTGTTATCTTCCTAACCTGGCCACTCTAGAAATTTGCTGGGAACTTCATTTATTGATAAATAGGATAAGGATTACAGCAGAACTGTGGCAAACCTGGAACGAATATAATATTCTCTGGGGCCTTTTTTTTCCTTTATAACATATATTATGACAATTTAACATATTAAACCTTCATGTTAGATTAGAGAAAACAGCCAATGAATTAAATATATCTATTGACTCTCTGCACAGTTGTGAGAGTTAAATTTGTTTATATACTTAATTTAAAAAAAAACTGACAAAAAATTCTCTAAAAAAGCTAATTCTTTTCCAAACTTGTTTCTAAATTAATTCACTTGAATGTAGATATCTCAAAATTTTATTTCAAGTCAGAGTTTTGGGAGGTTTTCTCTAGTTCTTTGTGCTTTTAATGATTATTGGTGATTTGGAGCAAGTTGTCTTTTCTTTTCATATCACAATAAAACCATTAACTTATTCCTTCGTGTGATACTTGAAAGCCTCGCTGTAAGATACACGGTATTTTAGATGACTCCATTTTATAATAAGGTCTTTTCAATGTTTTAGTAATTCAATATGCTTCGTACCAAATGTAGCTATCCTATAACATACCGTAGTAGTCTACAGTGAATTGGAGAATAACTCTTAAGTGTACATATTTTCTACACACTATCATAATAGAAAATCATTTTTCAATAGTATTACACATAAGATGAAAATCAGTTTTTAAAACAGTACTGCCAATCCTAACTTAAATCAAATTGGTCATACTGATATTTCTTTACAAGAGCAGAATGGAGAGTAACTCACTACACTGCGTATCATGTTTACAGAGGGACTGTGGTCTAGTGTTTGGGGCATAAATCTGAGGATCAACCCACAGGAGTTAAAGCTTTAGAAACACCATGAACAGTAAATTTTCTGTGCCTTCACCTTCTTATCTAAAAGAGGGATAAGTATATTAACCTGTCTCAGAGGATATTATTTCTTACAATCTAATGAGTTAAAATTATTTAAAGACAGTTAAGCAATATAGGCCAAAGTTCACTTTCCTAGTAACGAATATATTCTAACGCACGCAACTTTTTCAGATGTCAATTCCAACCTGCTTTCATCTATAAGAGTTAGTTTATAATTGTTTTAACAGTATTCAAATGAAGCCAGATCTCCTAAATCTCATTCTAATTATAATGAGCTTAATTTTCCAACAAGTGGGCTATTCTATTTATTTTTTAAATAGCAACAATTCTCCAAATTACTTTTAAAGTTGATAAAAATTAAAATGAGCAGCAATATCTTAGAAATACAACATTTTAAATTACTATATAATTGAAACTAAATTTGTGTATACATTTGAAATGGGAGGCTCTCAATAGTGTGTTTTCTTAAAATGAATGTATTTGAAATTTCAAATATCATATTTAATCCAACTGGTTCTGTTTTCCTCACAGTTAAAAACATATTGCAATAAAACTAACTTCAACTGATGTTGGTACATAGCCCTAAAACTTACTTTCTTACTTTAAAACACTACAACTACATATGTTTGAAGGTTTCTGTATTTGGCATAGCCACTTAAAAAATAAAATCACAATGTATTCATAGACAAAAACTACAAAAGTGTATTTTAACGGATCTACTGCTTTTAAAAGTTATTCCACGTAATAATCAATATTGTTAAAATCACTCCCAATAAAATTTGTGTTTTTTTCTTTTTATGATCCAAATCTATAGTGAAATGATGGAATCGAAAAACAAGTGTTCTTGTCAGAAGACAGGAAGAGAGTTTTTCCCCCTCCCTTAAGGAAAACAAAGGATTCCTGAAAGCTTTGCCCTGATTTATTTTTCCAATTTTAAATACCTTAAGAGTAGCGGAACTGCTACTGGCATGGTAGTATTTCTAACAGTCAATAAATCTAAAATATTATGTGTGAATATTGGAATGAAGCCATTAAGAAGATTACAGCATGCAACACAGCAGAGGGTCCACAGGAAAAAAGAACTAGTAATTCAGGACAACTGTGACCACTGACCTCTGAACAGCCAAGACCACTGGTCAAGCTGACACAGTAATAGAGTGCACATGCACAAAAAGTCCTGTAGCCTGTATGTGTAATTTAAATGCTTCGGTGCATGATTTTAAGAGGCCCCCACTTAAATATCAGTTAATTTATTAAATAATAAAACAATACCAATAGAAATATTTTTCAGGCTTCAAATATATTTTATTAATTCAAATCATAAAAAAATTCAGTAAGATTATTTGTGATTTTAACGTCTTATTTAAAACATCTACAATTATAGAATGATGAAAAAGCTAAATTTATTAGAGATGAGTTAAACAAGCAACCACCTCAAATATTTTTAGAAAATGACTCACACTTTACATCTCACACTTCAATAGTCGTAGCTCCAGCTCAGAGCTATTTACATTTATTCATGTTTCAAATTTGTCTAAAGTCTGTGTCCCTTAATTTCAAGCATATGTATAGTTATATCTACACCACCCTGCAGTCTTCCTTTTTATGAATATTTTTTACTATTTCAGTTATGTTCAGTTAACTGTTGCTTATAAGTAAATAGTAAGATAGTCCCTCCTTGTCATTTTATATATTTAGGCATTTATATTTTGTAAATACTAACTTCTTCATATATTTATAAATAAATGTTTTAATATCATACTAATTCTACTAGGAAAGTAATATTCCTCAATTTAAAAAAGAATCACCCATCAAAAAAATTACTATTAAAGATCGTTTTTCTTAAAGAAAGAGTCTGCTATCATTGAAGCTGACTATAAAAATTTTAGTATGACACAAAAAAGCTAATTTCTTTCTCTGTTTTCTTCCTCTTTTTTTTAAATAAACAATGCTCTCTCCTTAGGGTATTAACAGCGGAAATATATGCACATAAGGAGAATATTTTTAAAAGTTTGGACTTTATTTTCATAATTATTTCTCTATCCAATAAAGAATACTTTGATGGATTTCTATATGAATAATTCTAATCATTTCTAGCAGCTTCTGCAAAATTTTTATAATGAGGCAATCTGGTTATAATGAGCTAAAAAGATAATATAATTCTTCACTGGCCTGGCTTTGGATTCGTTCATACATAGCATAAATTTTACCACAGTAAGATAAAGTAGTTCGATTCAATTTGCTTCAAGGTCAGCAAGTAGTTTAGTTTATTTATAGGCATAAATAATCTGACTCTGACTTTAAAATCATATTTTTTCTATCACTAGTCATAAAAACAATCAAGGCTAGTATTACCACATTTTTCGAGTTTGAGATTTTTAAATTCACTTTTTCAAACTCCCTAATAATAATTTTAAAGTACTTGCAATATTACAGAAAAATATATTCTGAAGGCTTTTTATTCCCATATTTTAACATCCCTGAAAAAAAATGCATTTTTTTAAAGGGAAGTTATTTAACTTAGAACTATATTATCAAGATATTTTTAAATAGCCATTAAAATATATACAGAAATAGTACTAGTCTACATTTTTGCCCTGTTCTAAGGAACACGAAGGCCAAAAAATGCACTTTTGGAGACTGTTTAACATGAAATACAGAATATATCCTATTATAAGCTGCAGACACACACAAGCACACACACACACAAACCCTCTGCAAGATCAAAGACCAGAAGAGAACTGGCACTTAATTTATCAGCCTTTACAGACAAAAGACAGTTTTCGTCATTTCAAAAGAATCAGATGTCTTTTATGACAAACTGGGTTTGCAGTTTAATTTACAAATAGAATTCTAAGTAAGCAGTCTTTGCTCTGCCAAAGCCAGTGACAAACAGTGTAGGTTTTCATTCTTGCAGCCCTCAGCAGGATAGAAAAGATTAAAATAAAACTGAAATAATTTAGAGAAAACAAATAAATGTTTCAGAAAGTTGTGGGAGATCAAAGCCAGAATTTTCTGACCCCAACTGTACAAGCATTTCTTATTATATTGACCAGTGCCATCAGATCATTAATTAAAAGGAAAAGCGCTGGCAGGTGGCAAGGAAGCAAAAGCCGATAATTGGCCCCCTTCTTCTTCTTGCCTTCAAAAACTCTCTCATTCTTTTGCAAGACATGCCACCAGGCAGACAGAAATGCCTACTTTGTAATATAATGATTAAGATGAGATGAAGAGACTTACGTTTAAAGAAACTCTGCCTAATGAATGCATCTAGCATTTTAATTATGATCCTACTTTTACGATAAGGAATATGACGTTCCATTCCACATCTCCTCAACTGCCAAAAGATAAAAATATTAAATATAGAATCTCCATTGATTCCTTTCGCACCCCATGCACATATTCAACCCTTTTATTTCAGATAGAAAAAGTGGGAAAAATAACTCTTGGTAATTTAAGGGTCCAGGAGAAAACATATATATATATATATATATGTATATATATATATATATACACACACACACACACACATATATATGTTCACCACAAAATATCCTTCAGACTTACCACATCACTCGGTAGGTTGTTCAAGTCATTAAATGGTGATTCTAAAGTGTTTGTGTCAACATTTAACATAACCACATCTTCCAATGATTTATTTTTCACTCTCTGTTTAAAAAACACAATTATAAATAAATGTCTTAGTATATTTTCCTTCCAAAATTACAATGAGCTTAGAAATGTAGAGAAAATTATCTTAATGCATTAGCCTTGGGCAAAGAAAAAAGGAAAATGCTACATTATAAAAGAATATAAACAACTTTGCCCTATGAAAAAGAAAATTAATTTACAACTGTTCAAAAAGATTGGGTAAAAATGCTTAAAATAGAATGTTTGCTAATCTAAACATAATGATTTAGTTTGGAGATACTGAATATAATTTTACTACCAAAGAGATATTACAACAGAGACTCACAAAACAGGCACAGCTACATTCAACTGTAAAAACTGATATCCTTTAAATTTTATCTATTATATTTCAATCCTATGATAAAGGAACTTGTGGTCAGTTCTATACCTGTTTTTAGCATAAATCATATTGCAGGGCTAACATAAACCAATAACTATGACTACAGTAGTAAATTAAGTTTTAAATTAATAAATATTTTCTCTATATTTCAATATCAATTTGGTGTAAACTGATGATGAAGACAAAGTTGAATAAGGAAAAATGACAGAGAGGGCAGTAATATGGAATTCATTGCTAGTAATATTTATCACATGAATTTCTATATAAAGATCAAATTTAACAGCCTATCAGATTAACTATTTGACTTATTGGTCTTATTTGTTTGATAGCTTAGTGAAATGGTCAAATTATCTCAATATGTGAACAAATGATAAATTAGAATTTCATCAAACTTTTCATCCATAAAGAAAGGAAATAATTGTGGCTTATGGTTCCTATTTAAATTAATATGTATCCTTAAACAAATCATATAATTCTATTAGTTTTATTTAAATGACAGCAAATAGTATTATTCCTTAATGCTAATAAGGTGCTCACTAATGAAATATATCAATCCACTCAGAATTCCATACCCACATAGGTCAACTAGCAATAGATCAATTAATTTCAGTGTAGTATTTTTAAAGTGACATTGTAGAATAACAGCCATTTTTGAGAATTAAATACCTTAAATTTTAAATTAGCCAAACCAATTTTTTGTTTCAAGTTGATCAAGACTGAAATTTCTCTGATTCATTTAGAATTTCAAATCTCTGCATATAAAGTGGAACATAAGAAATGGTAATCTAGAGTAGGGAGTTTTTATGTGTTAGGAAGGCCATAATGTCTATGTGGAATACGGATTCTCAGGGGGACACATGACTCTAAAAATCTTGTAAAAGACATAATTATTCTAAAGTAAGACTCAGAAGATGGCTGTTTCTAAGAAATGAAGAGAGAATCACTTAAAACAGTGATACTACTGCCAAAACATTTATAAATAAACTTATTTCCTTTCCTTTCCATGTGTATATATATATGTAAAAAAGGTTTACATACATAAATAAGTGGTTATCTATGAATTAACTATAGCACAGCTATAAAAATAACCTATTTTGTAAGCAAAAATATATTTATATTAATGGCATTTGTGTGGAAAAAGTATGACAATTTTATTTCCATCTTCAACTCTAAGTTGTACTTTTAACAGAAACTGTAAAGATAATTGAGAAACCTCAAGTATTTTTTATGGAATAAAATGAGTTCATCTAAATAGCCTAGGATAATGGCTATGTGACCCCAAAATGTTTTGTGATGACACTAACACTAAACTCTGAACGAAGGTAATTCATATTAATATGAATGTACACTTTTTTCAAAGTTGCTGTTAGTTTTAAAAAGTCTGATAATAGCTAATATTAAATTTTGTTCAAGGGGCCACTCAATAAGAATGGAGAATGTAGTCATTTCAATAAAACAATACGCTGAGATACCCTAAAATGACAACATTCTACAAAAGCAAAAAGGGAAAAAATAGTATGTAATTTAAATCTTTTTTTAAAAATTTGGATTAATGTCAGTATTTTATCTATGTTTTCTCTCTGAATCAGGCTTTAGCTATTTTTTTTTTTCTAAATAAGAGTGGAAAGTCATATGGCATATAAAATGGTACCACTTTCTCTGCCTCATATTTTTATATCTCATAAAATTCATAAACTGGTTAGGATGGGGAAAGAGAAAATATGAAAAGAGAATTTGCCTTTTTCTCCAAAACTAAGAAAATAATATTAGGACACGGACTGACAGTCTTATTAAGCCCAACTGTAAGGTGTTAAAGGTGCTGAGTCTCTCTCACATCCTCTACACATAGACCTTCCATGCAACCCGACTACAAATGTACGTCGTGAACACTGATGCAAGGAAATGACACAAGGGCAGCAATCACATGAGCTTGTGAAACTGAGTCAACGTTTTATTTAGAATTCTCTGTATATTAAAACAAATAATATAAGCCTCACATTTGTAGTCTCTACTAATTTATTCCTAATCATCTACAGGCTTTAGTCTGCTTTGAGTTCATCCCTAAAGTCTAGTTTTCAGGTAGAATGAAATATCGTTATCCTTTATTTTGGAAGCAAATTTTCATTTTAAAAAGAGACCGCTAGGCATCTTCTACTCATGATTACATAAAAATAATTAAAAGAAAGATTTAAAAGGACATTTATTTCATGTCTTTGAACAATTATGTTTAGAAGTATTTGTAAAACTGATAAAATGAGTTGAAACTACCTTGAATGAGAGAGAATAAGAGAATATTTTGATTCTTTGTTAAAAAAAAAAGGTAGTTGTAATCGCAGCCAAACAAAATGTAAGAAATTACTCAGTGCAGTCTCACATATAGAATATGTAAATAGATATAGCTATATTTTAATTATAATATCATTTATATAAAATTAAAAAGTACAAAGGTCAAAATTTTAGTGAAAAAATCTACCTAATAACGACATAACAAGAATGGAATTGCAGGATGTGTATCATCTTGTAATAGATTAAGGAGAAAGCTACTAAATGGTACCCAACTGGTTTAAAGACATTCCTGAATTTCCTACTATACTTTCTCATTCACTATTACACCAAATAAAGCTGACTATTAAGACAGTTTGATAAGTCCAGAGTATAAAAGGCACAGAGATTTCAGCTAATCTAATCATACTCTAAACATTTTCATTTAATGATAAGAGCCAATTTAAAGTTAGAATGGACTGTTTCTCTAAGACAATACTTTAAGGAGTTAATAATTCTTAAATTTGCTCCTTTACAAAAGTACTGATTTTCTCTATAAGTGTCCAATAAATACATGACAAATTTAATTGAATATATAAAACATGTGTTTTCCTTCTACAATATTTTGCAAAAGCTAAATCATTTGTTTTAAAAGTTGATACAGAATCATTACACAAAAAAACAATATAACATCAACAGGTACAATCAACAACTTTAAATATTTTTCATCTGTTAAATAAATACATTGTAAAAATTACATATTCTATTAGATACATTAAATAAGGAGAGACACGTGCACTAATATCAAAAGTAAATTTGATGACTTTTTTTGAAACCATACCAATCAACCATGGTTAGATCTTGTATAAAGTCAAACTACTCATGAATAAAATGCCAGTCACACATTCCACAATCTAATAACAGATTAAACACCTATTCATCCACGTTTTATGTTATACAATTTGTCCTTTCACTCCAAGTACCCTGGCACATAAGAACAAGTTTTCTAAAAATTAACAAAATATAAAGGGTCAGGGGCCAGCCCCGTGGCTTATCGGTTAAGTGCGCGCACTCCACTACTGGCGGCCCAGGTTCGGATCCCGGGCGCGCACTGGCACACTTGTCCGGCCACGCTGAGGCGGCGTCCCACATACAGCAATGAGAAGGATGTGCAACTATGACATACAACTATCTACTGGGGCTTTGGGGAGGAAAAAGGGGAAAAAAAAAAGGACGAGGATTGGTAATAGATGTTAGCTCAGGGCCAGTCTTCCTCAGCAAAAAGAGGAGGATTGGCATGGATGTTAGCTCAGGGCTGATCTTCCTCACCAAAAACAAAAAAAAATAAAAAAAGGGTCATAATGTTATTCAACCCAGACTTCAAAATTACAAACAAATGAAACCTACTAAAGAAATTCATTAAAATGTATCCTTTATTAATGGTTAAATAAAAAATGTTGCCCTAGCATTCTGCAAAAAGAAAAAATGACCAAAACCAGAGCACATGCAGAATTCCATAATTCAGGATTCCTATAAGAGCCTGACTCTCTCCATACATGATCCTCAGGAGTTTTAAAATAATCAACAGGATCTTCCTTGATCAGCACAGTGAGGACTGATGGTATATACAGTGACAATAACTAATGAGAAAACCAAATCTAGGGGGCCAGCCCAGTGGTATAGTGGTTAGGTTCTCAAGCTCTGCTTTGGCAGCCTGGGATTTGCAGGTTCGAATCCTAGGCGTGGACCTAGGCACTACCCATCAAGCCATGCTGTGGCAGCATCCCACATACAAAATACAGGAAGACTGGCAACAGATGTTAGCTCAGGGCCAATCTTCCTCACAAAAAAACAAAAAAAAAGAAAGAAAGAAAGAAAAGAAAACCAAATCTAACATTTAGGTTGCTCATTGGAAACCAGATTAAAGTACAATATTCACAACCAGCAAAAATAGAAATTTATTTGAATAAGACTGAAATCAGCCAGCATAATGATGCCATGCAACTGATGTAAGTCTTTTGTTTTGATCCCAGCCTTTTCTTTATTTTTTTAGGAGCTAATCTTATAAGAAGTCCTCTCTGGAAATCTCACCGATTTCAAGTTCAATGTGTCTAAAGTTCAAGATTTTTGACTATAGTGATGATTCTAGAGACAAAAATCATTTTGGAATGAGGTGATGACAGTGCAAAACATTACTACATTTTAAATCCCCAATAGGACTGAAAATTAAAAAAAAAAATTTTAAGCTATATTCTAATTTAAAAGTTCATGAATAGTGTATTAAAACCACATTTTGAAAAAGCACACTGATAAACTGGATCATAATGAACTTTGCAAAATAAAAACATTTTCCCTTTATGACTCATAATTACATAAATTCTAACTTTCAAAATACAGGTCTGAAAAAGAAATAGGTATAAAAGATCCCAAGTGCCGTAAAGAAAGTGGTTCGTGAAGGACTAGAGTCTTTAGTATTTAAAACTTACCATATAATTTCGACCAATATAACCTATTTTCATGGGTTTCATGCCATTGAAGATGGTCATTTAGCAGACTAATTAAAATGAAATTATCTCAACAGTACCTTTTTGAAAATGATCATGTAAGTATACTCTAAACATGAAATTAGTCACCGCCTTGTACTAAACACAACTGTTTGTTATTTTCATGAATAAATTTATCATTATCTCATGTCTGAAAGATACTCACCTCTATGAGGCTGGAGTGTATTCCAATCAGGTATGGCATTGGGGCACTAAATTAAAAATATATATGTACATATTCATACAGTTCATTAAAACTGAAACAATAATATAAGTAATTCAGACTGCTTAAAAAATTAAATTTATTAAATGTGCAGTTCTAACATAGCATTATAGATATTTAAAATTATTCAATATATAAAACTCAAATTTAATCTTAGAGGCTACTAATATACTCAAATCAAGGGTGATTTATATAAAACTCACAAAACCGTTTATAATTAAATCAAAAGTTGTAATGTCTAAAAAAAAACTTGTTTTTATTTAAGAAGACTATTAGGGTCTAGGCCATAGTCTGAGTTGAATCTTTTCCATATACTTCATATCAAATATAACCTAAATAATCATCAAATTTATTCACATTTCTTTTGCACACCTTTTTTATTGCAATTAGATTCTTATTTCTGTGATTTCCTTAATATATCATCATTGTTTCATATCTACTATGTCACCAACATTTTTTGATTCAGCAAGTCACCAAATATTTACTGAGACACACTATGCGCCAGGTGCTGTTTGGGCACTAGAGCTTCAAAGTTCCTCCCTTTGTGATCATTCTGTTTCTGTGCTATCCTTCTGCTCATGTACCTTGTCCCTTCTTTAAATTTTATACATTCATATTTATCCCACTTTAACTTTTATTAATAAAGTAATTTTAATAAATTTAAAAATATTCAAATAAGTTTAAGAACAATATTGAATCAATTAATTTAACACATAATATCTGGAGCATACCAGGTGCCAGGACCTGGGCTAGAGGATTGGGTACAATAATAAACACGGTAGAATAAATTCCCTTGTGGATTTTATAATCTAGTAGAGAACATAGATATTAAACAGTTTCTGTAATACATAAAATCAGACTTACTAGTAATTTCAAAAATTTCTCATGAAATACAAGAAGAAAATTATTCAACTTGACATTTCAAAATTAAAATATTATTTAACAAGAAACCATGAGAATGGACAGATGTCTACAAAGGTGAGAGAAGATATGCAAATAAATAGCTATTTAAAAATAAAACTTTTTTGACATTTCTTTTATAGACATCTTTGTGTTATATTTAACACAAACCTTTTCTCATAATGAAAACAGATAATCTTTCTCAAAGGGTTTGCATAATTTTCCAAACATCATTGTCATTATTGGAACAGAGCTGTCCAAGCTCCTGTGAATCTACTTTGTTACTGAGAACCAGTCATGGATACAACTAGCAGGCACCTTGACAGATCACAGTGCTCAAAGTCACCTCATATGGTTTCAAACTCATTTAAAGATGGCTAACCACTAACATATATATCTAGAATTCACAAAAAAATAAGAACGGTTGAAGTTCTTATTTTACTCCTCATTAGCCTGTTCATTACCTCCTACTGTACTAGATTCTAATGCCCAGTTGGCTTTGCCTTTTGTAGCTTTGTTCCTTTTTATTTTTTATTTTATTTTTATGCAACAGACCATCTGGAACTGATTGATATTCTGGATACTTCATTTGACTGAAAGTTGAGAACTATTTATAGGCCTTGATATCCTTAAGACCTAACATTTTCTGCCTTCAAAAGGAAACAGGAGGAATAAACGTGGACTGTTTCACTTTTGCTTAAATAAGGGAAGGCTGGTTACTTCCCTAGTTTAAGTTCTCATCTCTGGAATCCCTTCTGAGACTCCATAGAAGACATAAAATATATGTCACTAACTATTCTGGGCTCCCATGACTGGGTTCAGGCAACTTTCATAAAACAGGGTAGGCAAATCCCAAGATTTTAAATTTATCAAGCCACATCCAAAATAGTATAAAATTATTAAAGTTACTGTGCAAACTTCCAATTCGCCCCAGGTTAGGTTATGCTACCCACCAGATGTATAATATAGAAAGTCCATGGAATCTCAAATTTCAAAGCACATTTTAATAAAATGAGTGTTAATCAAAATATTTAAGCCTTCTAAAAATAATTATTATGTCCATTTTACAGATGTTGGAGGAAGACTGAGTGGATCAGATTTCAAAAAAATCAGAGCCAAAAGTACTAACAAACCTATTAAAGTCCTATGAAACACATCTAAGATAACACTTTCAAAACTTGATGAAAACTAGTTATCTCTTGAAATATAAACTGTTTATACTGTTTAGAAATTGCTTAGAATAAAAATTCAATACAGATTTCCTATGCAGAACTTAATAATAAAGTAACTTGAAACTTTTTCTATGGGATCACTGGGTATCTCTATGTGTTTTTATCTCACTAATTTCTAACAAAATTCATAACATACAGATGTTAAAACTGCCAACATTTTTAATTTAGAGCATAATTTCCTAAAATAATTATGATGTTTTGCAGAATATAGATTTAATTGAATAGTTGTTTCTTTCCCATGAAAACTTGATTGTGTACATCCTAATATTAAGTCAGCCAAATCTCATGAAAAGTAATTTTGCAACCCTAGCTGAAATCTCCTAATTAGATTAGGGTGTTAATAAGTCAGGAAGAGATCCTTGGCAACAGAGATGTTTTATCATCCATGTGCAAAACTGTCCTAGATCTTTCTGTCAATGAAGTTATTTCACAAAGATAGAATACAGAAGGCTCTATTACGACTGCTTCTTCTTTTTGGTAGCAATTAATCTTTACTCAAAAATAATTACTATGTAATAGCCTTTTTTTCTTTTTAGGTTTTCTTACACAGACCACCCATGGGTTAGACTGTAACAACAGTCTATTAACTTAGGGTAGTCTAAACAACCTAATTTTCCATTTATTTTTTTTTAAATTATTTTCTTAGAAGCTAAATCTGCTCCTTTCATGGAAAGAAGAATCAGACAGCCCAAATAAAAAAGTGACAACTATTCTTGAACAAATAATGAAGGATTATAATTTTACTGGTACTAGAGTCACACCACCTCCTAGGTGTTTAAGAATTCACATAAGAGTGAATGGTAACATCACAGACTTGCCACATTAAAGTACTCTTTTTTTTTTTTTGTAGTTAAGAACATCTAACATGAGATCTGCCCTCTTAACAAATTTTTAAGTCTACAATACAGTATTGTTAACTATAGGCACAATGCTGTACAGCAAATCTCTAGAACTTAAACATCTTGTATAACTGAAACCTTATACCCACTAAATAGAAACTCCTCATTTTCCCCTTATACTAGTAGATTAAGGGAAAAATGCAGATGGTGGCACTTCCTCCCAGGAGCCTGCCCTATCCTACCAGGCAGTGTAGGCCTCTTCTTCCTAGGTCTTCCCAGCCATATTTCTTTTATATGCCTCTGATATAAACCTTACAGTATTGCAGTATTACTCTGTGCTTGTGTGTGAGCACATGTGTGTGTGTGCACTCAGTGCATATGCACATGTGTATGTACGTGTGAATTTCTTCCTACCTGTGGACCCCTCAGGAACAAAACCTAAGTCTTATTCATTACATTACACACTCAAAGCTTGGCAAACAGGTGGGCACTAAATGTTTGATATACAAATGGATGGATGAATGAATGAATGAGCCAACAAATTAGCAAGCCTTGTCAGCAGAGCAAGATGCGATATTCATCCATGGTCACAAGATGGCATTATGGCTCTCCAGTCTATGCCACACCAGAGATACCAGACGCAAAAACAAAAATACTTCCAGGAGCTAGAAGTACCTCAGGATTTGGAAAGTTCCAATCATCTTGAAGAGTTGGCAAATATACATTTACCCCTATCAAACATTCCTGGTGCTATTTTTGAAATAGAATATAAAAATTTCTTTGTTCAAAACCCATGAGATTGAAGGGATAATCTCTAATATTTTTCTCCCTTTCACATACAGATCAGCATGATTCTAGGATCATTTGCAAGGATACAAAAAGAAGAAAACCATTTTCCCTAGGAAATAGTTTAGTCCATAGAATTTTCTGACAGAATTCTAGAGTCTTAGATGGCTATTTCTAAAAAATTCTATTATATTGCCCAGTTCCTACAATAGAAGCTGAGCCTATCATTGTGACCTTAAGGTTCAGGAAGTTTCAGATAACTCCTTGTTTGATTATCACTGCTGCAATCTCTGAACCAGGGAAGTGTCTGGCATGGAAGCTGCTAGAACTTGTCCTAAAGGCTATTTCAGAGGTTAGAAACTAGTAAGAAAATTCCAGGGACTGAAATATGAAATAAGCTTCCTTCATTACAGTGGAAGCAGTAGAAAAAGAAGGACTTGAAGGCAGGGTCAGAAAGTATCAGGAAGATATCTCTGGAAAGAATTGGCACAAACCTACCTACCTCATAAAAGAGTTTCCAAACAACAATATTTTATAAGTTTTAAATGTGTAATCATTACAGAGAATTGAACTTAAAAGGATGTTACCTTCTATCAGGTCAGAACATTTTAAGAGAGAAATTACAATGGTACAAAGTTTATTATGATAAAATATAATTCTAAACCTCATAATTAGAAGAGTTAGTTCTTAAACCACTAACTTCACACATATTTTTAAAAATCATAACATATTTTCAAATACTTTTGTAAAAAATTTGAAAAAAGTTTTAATTACTGAACACTATGTTCTTACTACCAAAAAAAGAGTACTTTAATGCGGCAAGTCTATTGCATACGTCAACGTCAATAAATTGCAGTTCCTGCCTTCAAGGAGGCTAATATATTCTAGGTAAGTTGGTCACAGAAAAAACTCTAAAATAAATACCAAAAGAGCCTATCTATAGATCTAGCTTTACTCTTAGCTTGTGTGTGTGTGACACTTCACAATACAATTAAACTGCATACCTATAGTCTCCTGCCAAACTGTTTCTTCTTTCCAGTACTTAAAGGGCAGAATGGCAGTGGTAGATCATTGGGAACCTACTTCATAGCATTATCAATACTAATAATATGACCATGCTATGAAAACACACAATATATTGGTATAATCAATATGTAGCCAAATATATGTGTTTTCATTACAATCACTTGCTCTGAAGAGGACTAGTCATAAAAACTGAATAGAAAACCTCTATGGATGGACTTAAATCATTTTAATCCTTAAATCTTCAAAGTGATCTGCTTTTCATGAAATGAGAAAGTTAAATAGATATTTTAATTCTAAAAGAGCTTTGTTTTTTAATAACATTTGTTGTGATATAAAGAAACACATTATGGTCAAAATTATTTCCTTCTGTGCATGTGTGTATGTGCATGTTTTAGAGGAAAAAATCTCATCTGATTTCTTAAGAATTAAGCTATGCCTGCAGAAGATGATTATGCAGTGAAGAGAACACTCTACCCTACAGTCCAGGAGAAGGTCCCCAGGCTGCTGTGTGGGAGTGTACTTCACTATAAGTCTAGCTTCACTCTAAGTATGCAGACTCTTCTGGGGAAGAGAACAGGTAAGTTCTAGAGGTGCAGTTGAATTCAGATTGGGTGAGATCACTGGGAGTTGTTTCTAATGCCAGGAAGCTTTTCAGAATTATTCTCAACACTTTCCACATTCTTTTCATAGTGGCTTAAGGCTGAGACTTTGATCTAAACCAGAAACCCAGGGAATCCCCGTATTAGAGGCAACCCCTTTGCTGGTATTTGGTATTTGGTGTGCTAGGGAGGGAAGAGGAGTGAAGGAAGGTGTCCTGAAGTAAAGGGAAGGAGACTGTGGGCTGACACAGTTTGTTTTCTGACGGACTCTGCAGACAAATTCTGACACTTAAGATACTGAGTTCTCTAAGTGATACTATAACTTCTCTACAATTTTCCTAACCACAACTAAGATTGTATTAGTTTCTATTTATGCATTTAATTATCTAAATGAACCACTAATAACCGCAGAAGAAACTCACAAAATCTAAAGAATTTTATGTTTGCCAAGTATACATTTTTGCTACCTTTGGAAAGAACTACTCTGCCGTTCATAAAAGCACCTCTTAATACTTGTTACTAATCCTTAAGTCAAGTTTCAGAGATTTCACTCATGTATATATACACCAAGCTTACCTAATCTACAAATAAACAGATGTTTTTCTAATCATGAAACCTGGATTTAAAGGAGTCTGGCATGTCGCCTTACCAGCAGTAGTCCAGCAGGTGTGGAGGAAGCACTGGGATGTAAATGTGCTGCCAGTACATTGGGTAGAGCAGAGCAACTGATCCATGGAGACAGGCAGTTAACTAAAATTTGTAAAGGATAACAACAATAAGTAGCTGCTAACCCTCTAAACAAAAGGCATGCTCAAGTTATCAAAGATTAATGATAATCATCAAACAATTTATTTAACGGCCTAAATTACATTACCTTTATCATTCTGTGTGTAAAAAGTCTTATATTTCAGAAGTCCCTCTGAAAAATACATAAACAGCACAAGTAGCTTCTTGGGCATCTTATGTAGACAGTTATAACTATCTGAAAATATAGTGCTTGGGGTTGAAGCTTAGAACATAAATAAAAGTAAAACTGAAAAATTAGGTGAGCATCTCAGAAGAAACTGTAGGAAATTACAATTTGTGCAGCACCGTTCGCGTATCATTCAGATTAATATACCATGATTAAATATGGAAAGGAAGAGAGGCTGAAAGCTCCTGAGGGATATCATTAGGGCAAATTGCCAAAGAATGAAACATGAGCCAGTCAGGAGAGTCTGGAAGCTGCCATAATACCAGGGGACTTGAATGTTCGACAGTTGGAGCTTCAGTAATGTGTGAACTGCGGGTTATGGTATCAAGAGACTCTGTTCACTGACACATAGAATGTCACTATTGACCAGCGAACTGCCCAAGCTTGACAGCTGTACTACAGGAAGCCAAGTATATCATAATTTCATATTTAAACTGTTCATTTCAGATTAACATTTTGTTTCCTAGCTTTATATCACAACAGCTGCAAATACATTGATGCTATTTTAAAGGTAATTGCCATTTTAATTGTTTTGTTTTGGCAAGCAGTTAATTAAATATTTTTTAATGCTAACAAAGGGATATCACTTTTTTCCCCTCCCTCCTACTGACCTTCATCAGAATTCCTTACTGTGATTTTCTTTACATTTTCAATTATATTTCTTTAAATGTTAAGTCATTTTTTAGTGTTTAAAGCAATAATTAAAACATTCTTCATTTCAAGGTTTTGCTTTAGTCTGCATTTCAAGGTTACTAACTAAATCATTTTATTCAACTTGAATATTAGAGTTTAAAAATAAAACCAACTGAAAATGAACCACAGACTTTCTATAAATCATTATTTCTATTTCATTACACAAAGAAATTAAAATGTACATATAGCAATGAAATTAATTTAAAAGGATAAATGTATACAAAGCAATTCAATCTTAATAGCAACATTTGACTATATTTAAGTGTAAAATAGTTCCACTAAATAAAAAAATCAATTAAAATAATCTAATCTGAACCAAAAACATAAAAATTTGATTAAAAATATACTCATTTCATCAAATGTATTATATAATCTTTACATTTAGATTCTTAATCAATTTTATATGGCAAACAATGTATTTTGATTCAATTTAGGATGCTATCATTAAAGGGTTTTAGTACTTTGCACTTAACAAGCTTTAATAGCTTACCTACAGTATTCCTTCAATAAATATTATTTTTAAAATTCCTTAATTAAAGCATACAATATACCACTAGGAGGCATTCAAATACTTCTATTTAACAATCATAGACCATGAATTTATTTATCTTACATTTCTGAACTAGAAGGAAATGAAAATGGGGTTGATCTAACTCGTGTCAGATTCTCAGAGAGCTTTCAAGTACTCCTTGGTTGTAAATTAGGCATCTTTAAAGCTGCATTAACTCTTTCCATCCCTTCAGTGTAGCCCAATGGGTTAAAAGAGCTATGTAGCTTTGAAAGGCAGCTAATTTACTCAGTTTCTCCATTCGCACATAGATGACTTCTAAAACAGCTCATTTAAAACCTTAAAAAAAAAAGAGGAAAATGTTCCTTTTTTTTTTTTTTGTGAGGTAGATCAGTCCTGTGCTAACATCTGCCAATCCTCCTCATTTTTTTGCTGAGGAACACTGGCCCTGGGCTAACATCCGTGCCCATCTTCCTCCACTCTATATGGGACACCGCCACAGCATGGCTTGACAAGTGGTGCGTCGGTGCGCGCCCAGGATCCAAACCGGCTAACCCCGGGCCTCCGTAGTGGAGCTCGCGCACTTAACTGATTGTGCCACCGGGCCGGCCCCCAAATGATCCTTTTTTATTGTTGAGAAAATAATTAACAGTGTAACAAGAGGAAAAAACACATTCTCAAAATGAGGAATTATAATATAGGTAACTTATTTTACTGGGCACACCCAGAGTCCAAAGCACTCTATTAAATGTTATATAAATACTTCCCCCATGCCCTTAATGGTCATCCTTAAATGAAGTTATGAATTATTCACTAATAAGGCACAATATTATCTGATGAATGTGATTGGTTTCTTAGAGGATGATTTCTGTGATGATAAGAAGAATCACAAAATTTCTGCAATGGCTAGCATTTGGCAGAGAGTTATCTCTGCTAATCAAGATCTTCCAGGAAAGAAGGAAGCTCTACAGAATCTGGCAACTACCCCTCCCTAACCCCAGTTTCTGGCCTAAGCAACTAGAATGAATTATTTAAAGTAATATAGCAACAGTGTCAGGTGTGGGTGGAACTATAAGGAATTTGCTTTTGCAAATACTGATTCTGTTAACTGTGAGACATCCAAATGGAGATTTCCAAAGAAGGCAGAAGCATACCAAAGAAGATGGATCCCCCATACCCATCTAGCAGCAGGTAATAACTATGTGATTAAAAAACAGAGAAAATACTGTTATAGCATAATTTGTAGAGGGGATAATAAAGTTATAAGCAAAAAAACACCATTAAGAAAAAAATATATTTACTAGGAAATTAGACACAGTTATATGTAAGTTGTATAAGATAATAACAATGAAGTGTATCATAGACCAAGTCAGAGCTCTGCCACTAAGAAGCTGTATGGCCTCTGGCACATCTGCAAATATAACGAGATCTCAGTTTCCTAATCTATAAAATAAGAAGTCTATGGTGATCTGTAACCATTGTCTCTGACAGATCTAACATTCTTTATTCTTAGAGCAGATCAATTCTAACATTTCATATTCTTAGTAACAGCTAGGGATCTTTTTTTCCATACAGGTGGTTAACAGAACACTTTAACTGCACTATAATTCAGAACCACCTTCAAAATATATCTAAAGACCATCTCTAAAAGCTTTAAAGCACATTTGGTAACTGAGCAACTGGAAGTATTATAATAATTTACTTGCTTAATTCAACAAAGTTTTTGCGTGCCTACTATGTGCTATCATAAACCTCTACTAGGCAACAGGGACCCAGTTCTGAACAGAACAAAGTCCCCGTTTTCATGGAGCTTGCATATTAGTGGGGAAAGCAAACAATAAATAAGTAAAGTAGCTATGAAGACAGTTAGAGGTGAGTTCTATGAAGAAACCCAGAGCAGGGTAAGAAGCGAGAGAATGATGGAAGGGCTCTTTTAGAGAGGAGGATTAGGAACAAACTCTGATGTGGTGACATTTGAACTGAGACCCAAGTGAAATAAGAGCACTCCAGGCAGATGAAACAATGCACTCAAAGATCCCGAGATGTGAACAGGCTTGGCATCTTCACAGAGCAGTAGGGAGGTCAGGTGATCAGACTGGAGGAGGTGGGAGAACAGCAGGGCATGAGGTCAGACAGGCAAGCAGCATCAAGGCTGAGAGCCCTCTGGGGCATGGCAAAGACTCTACATTTTGTTCTGGACAATACGTGTCCGTACCTCTGAAGAGAGTGCTAACTGTCACAACAAATGATTTACCTAGAACATTTTGAGAACCACGCAAATTAAGGGAAATCAGCTACATACTTCAGAAGTTTGGTTTGCAGAATAAAGTACTATGAGATCAACTGATAATTATATACGTTATCTATGATATACTGAATTGTTCAGCTTAAGGGAAATGACAATCATATTTCTTTGGATTAGAATTACTCAGGATTCTACGTCTGGTTCAGGAGAGGGCTGCAACTCCACACTGCCTTTCTAATACTCCGTCAGCTGCTGCTTTAATACCATATTGTCCTTTGGGAAAGCAAAGAGGGTGGGAGAAAGGGTTCAACATTTGCGTTAGAGCGTATCCCTGGCATTATACCCTGGAAACTGAAGGAATAATGCATTGCTATAACTTGCCAAAAAAACAAATTTACCAAATAAAGGTTTAAGAAAAAAAATTCCTTATCATCTTTGTTTAATGACATATTTAATGCACATATAATTTCACAAAGCATACTGGATATATTGAAATGATACAGTCCCGAAGTACTGACTAATGCAAAATAAAATCATTGGGAATATTTATTTCCCATGCACCACAATTATAAAATAAGTATATATGGAAACCATGTGAAGACACAAAAACTGGGGCCTGTGAAATCAGAGAAAGAAACCTGACAACAAAGGTTGGCAATAGTGAACTTCATCATAAAATAAAGGCACTTGACTTCCAGTTCCAGGCCACCAAGTCTAATGCAGATTCTGTCACTGATAATAATAATAATAGCAAACATTTATATAATGCTTACTATGTACCAGGCACTATTCTGAGTACGTGATGTACTCAGATTTAATTCACACAACAACCTTATGAAATAGGTACTATTATCATTACAGTCACGTGTCACTTAACGAGAGGGATATACTCTGAGAAATGTGCTGTTACACAATTTTGTTGTTGTGCAAACATCATAGAGTATACTTACACAAACCTAGATGGTATGTATAGCCTACTACACACCTAGGCTATATACTAATAATCTTATGGGACCACCATTGTACATGTGATTCATTGTTAACCAAAATGTTGTTTTGTGGCGCATGACTGTATTCCCATTTTACAAATCATGACACCACGGCAAAGTTAAACCAATTGCCCAAGATCACACAGCTAGTAAGTGGCAAAGCCAGGAAACCAACCCAAGCAGGCTCCACAGTACAATAGCCATCATTTTAAACTGCCTTTTGATATAAACGGATTCAAACTTCCCATCTTTATGAGGCTTTGAGTAATATCTACTGGCTGAAAATATTTTATCCTAATTATATAGTGGAGAATGAGTCTTTGGACTGAACAAACAAGAATA